TCGCCCCGCAAGCCGCCCGCCGCAAGGCCCAAGAAGGACCCCGAGCCGCCGCCCCGCAAGCCCCTCGATGACGAGGCGCTCCAGCTCCCCTCCGGCCCGTACCAAGAGTTCAAGCTCATGTCCTCTGCCCTCAACGGCTGGAAGTACGACGTCATGAAGTTCGACTCGCGCAAGCCCGTCGATCTCCTGCGCTGGAAGCAGCCCATCAAGCTCAACCGCAAGGAGCTCCGCCACGACGACGGCCCCGTCGACGGCGTCCCCCAGGCCGTGGCGCCCATGCTCGGCCCCGACGGCAAGCCCGTCATCGGCATCGACGGCAAGATGGTCATGGTCGACGCAGAGGGGCGCCCCATACATGCCCTCGAGGCCGCCCCCGGCAGCGCCAAGGGCAAGGCCCCCGTCCCAAACGGCAAGAAGCGCTTCCAGAAAAAGACGCGCCAGGTCTATGTCGTCCCAGAGGAGGTGCGCCAGCTGCGCAGGGAGGAGCGCTACCCGTGGGTCATGGAGGACTCGTCGCCCGACAAGGAAGAGGTCTGGCTCGCCCAGATGGAGGACGTGGCGAGATCCGAGACCCACGCGCTCTTCATGCCCGCCGTGAACGACGTCTTCAAGTTTGTCCCGACGCATCGCTGGTACAAGTTCCAGAAGAAGATGAAGCACGATCTCCCCACAGACACTGCAAACGTGGAATCAATGGTGGCGCATCTTTGTCGTACTCTACAACATGGATGCTAATACTGTCGACAGTACAACCAGCGCCAGAAACGGGGAGAGGCGTGGATCGCCTCGCGCAAAAACGTGTCTGCGCAGACGGCTGCAATGTTCAAGGCAGAGGCCGAGGGCCGCACGATCGAAGGTGGACTCGTCCACAGTTCTGGGCAGAGCCTTGGTCCCGGCGGACGAAAGCTCAAGACCGTCGATAGCGGCATGAATGGCCTTTTCGATGACGACGAGGACGGAGACACGAAAAAGCGCCGGGAAAAGGAAATGGGCGGAGAGGGCGACTTGGACGAACAGGAATACGAGGAAGATTTTGCTGATGATGAGGAGCCGATGGAGGTGGACCGTGACGACGAGGAAGCCAAAGAACTCGAGGTAGGCCCCCGCTCGTTGTCCAGGCGCTCGAGTCGATGAGGTACCTGTTGCAGGAGCGACTCAAGCGGGAATACAAGGCGGCCAACAAGCAACGCGAGGCCGGCGTTGATGAGTCTGACGACGAAACACTAGTACCTGGAATGACGAAGCAAGCCAAAGCTATGCAGAAACTAATTCGTAACCGTGAAGGCAACGATGCATATGACAGTGACGAGGAAGAGAACCCCTATGCGAGCTCGGTACGTATATTCTATCTATGTAAACGACCATCTAACCACAAACTAGGTGGAAGAGGAAGAGGAAGAACCCGTCGTTCAGACAGGGCCTGCTGTCCAACCGCAGCCCCAGCAGGTCGACTCGCGGTCTTCATCACAACCACCGAAAAACGGGCAAACCCCTCCCGCTGGGCGCCCACAATCCAACGCAAACTCCCGGGCCGCATCTCCAGCGGCCTCGCCAAGCCTCGGTGGGCATTCTGTCGTAGCGAAGCGGGCTACAAGCCCGAAGCCACCCAAACCAAAGCCCCCTGTCAACGGCGGCAACACGCCACAAGGTAGCCGCGCGACGAGCCCCGTTGCGTCGAACAGCCGCGCTACGAGCCCCGTCGCAGGCAGCCCACCCAAGCCCAGCAACAAGCGCAAGGCAGTCGACGAGCCCGCGAACGGCGCTCCTGCGCCCAATGGGGCAAACGGGACTCAATTGCCGAAACCCAAGAAACGTAAAGCAACGGCAGGGGTCGCGCCTGTCAATGCCACGCCCGAGCAGCTCAAGGCGATGCTGATTGAATGGCTGGCGAGCACGCAGAATGCGACGACCCGGGAGTGTATTCGCCACTTTACACCGTATCTGACGGATGACGATAAGAAGACGCAGTTTTCGGGGTTGGTACGGGATGTAGCGCAGTTAAAGGGAAAGGTACTTGTTTTACGGAAGAGGTTCCAGGAGGATGGTTCTGCTGCACCATCTCCAGCGCCATAGTGTACTTTTATTTAGAGTTGATATGTCATAACAATCTCTCATCACAGAACATTTGATCGATGATCGATGAGCTCTTCCCGGCACGGGTGGTCTGCGGCGGCAAGCAATGCCCGTAAAGGACATGGGCTGGCTCGACAGAGACATAAAGCAGAGCACGGCGAGGCAGAAGGACGGAAAAAACAAAGGAAAAATGAAACGGCATGTTGATCGGAAGCGGGAAGAAAGCTAAAGATAGACCTTGGCAAGATTTTCGAGGAATGACTTGGACTCCGGCAGGGCAGGACCTTTGACCGGGCGCGCTCATAAAGTCCAGTCGATCCGTCCGTCTGCCTGTCCCATGCTCTGGCACGCCCTCCTCCTCGCCCTTCCTTTGGCCCACGCCGCGCGCTTCCGCGTCCCCCACGCCCACTCGCTCGAACGACGCCTCCCGGCCTCTTGGTACCAGCACGACGACCATCCTGTCCACGCCCTCTTCAGGCGCGGCCCCCCCACCGACGGCACCAACTATCCCCAGGTCGGCTCGCCCAGTAAGCCTGCTCCATCGCGTCGCGATCTCTCTGACGCTTCCGCCCGCCAGCGTGGTCCGCAGCCTACCCCTCGTCCTCGCCCGACGTCAACGCGCTCCCGCAACAGTGGGTCGCCGCCCTGAACGCCGCCGTAGATGCCGGGAAAATCCCCAATATACCCCAGAGCAGCAACACGCCAGGCACCAACCCCGTATACCCCGCAGGCTTCAATCCCAACGGCCCGCAAGTCTGCTCTGCCACCTACAAATGCCAGATACCCGGCGACGTCTGGGACGCCCCCGACGATTATTTCGCCATCTCCTTCGACGACGGCCCCACACCCGTGCGTGTCGATGCTATGTGTTCCCTCCCAGCTGCTGATCGCGGATGTGTGCGTGGGATCAGGCGTCGCCGCGGCTTTTGCAGTTCCTGGAGGGGAACAACCAGACCGCGACGCATTTCATGATTGGCGTCAATATCCTGCAGAACCCGCAGCTTTTTTTGGATATTTTTAATGCGGGACATGACATTGCTGTACACACGTGGACGCATCCGTACATGACAACCCTAACTAACCTTGAGATCGTGGCACAGGTGAGGAAGCTTCGATTCCCACGTGTCCGAGGCTAATATTTTGTTTGACAAGCTTGGGTGGACAGCAGAGATCATCAGGAACTCGACCGGTGGCCGCGTGCCCCGATATTGGCGCCCGCCCTACGGAGACTCTGACATGAGAGTGCGTTCGATCGCAAAAGAGGTACGTGGTTTCATCGCGCTCTTTCGCGTCTTGTGGCCAACGTCATCCTCCTAGGTCTTCGGTCTCGAGACAGTCATCTGGAACCACGAGTACGTTATATGTTTTCTCTGCATGCGATCCCCTCGATAACCTCTGACTTTTCAGCACGGAGGATTGGAGCCTCACCTCCCCCAAGGGTACGACGCCACAGATCATCCACGACAGCTTTGTCCAGTGGCTATCTGGTGCGTGACTCGTGTGATCCGCGCAACTCGGTACCCTAACCCTTTCGTCGTCAGGTCCAAAGTCGCCTGGGATCATCACCCTCGAGCACGAACTGAGCGACATGTCCGTGAGTGCTTTCATGGACGCCTGGCCCTTGCTCGGGCCTGCCGGCTGGAAAACGGGCTCACTCGCCGAAATCGTGGGAGACAGCGCATACCAGAATTCCGACGACTCGGATTCCCCGGTCACGCTCGACGGTGTAGTCGCAGGTACCACTGTGTCGGTCTCCCAGAGTTCTAGCAGCGCTCAAGCTCTCGTAGGCCAGACAACCGCGGGATCCAGTTCGTCGTCGGCGTCGGCGACGTCGACGCCATTAGTGTTCGTGCTTCCCTTCGTTCTGTATTCTCCCGAGTGCTGATCTCGATCATCATCGTAGGCGTTCGATCTCCACCGCGTCCCCCACGGCTCCGGCAGGCTCTGCATCTGCACAGAGTACACAGACTTCCAACGCGGCCTCTCATCATGCGTCATGGGCTCTGTCTGGCGTCGCGTTCTCACTATGCGTCCCTGCCTTCATGGCCGCATTCTCAATTTTGGCGTAAAACGCCCGGGACTCTTCAACCTACTTTTTCGATCCTAGTCTAATTGATGCCTGTCAGACAACGATTAACTTTACTTCCACGAACTCTCTTTGTAGTTTTGTTTGTGTTCTTGTTAGTGACACCCTCTCCGACTATACCTTTTCACGCACATACACCTCCATTACCCGACGGACTTGCTCGAGAATCTAGCATACTACTCACCTATCTATTGTTACTGCAACTACGATATAATTGTGGTTATATCTAGAAAGATGCTACCAGCAAACGTATCTCGTCCTCCCACATTCCCTTCTTACCATCCGGTCTTAGTGTAATCTAGAAGCTTACTTTTCCTGCCAACATGCCTGTCAGACAGTTTGTCTTTTTTTCTTACCATCCGGTCTTAGTGTAATCTAGAAGCTTACTTTTCCTGCCAACATGCCTGTCAGACAGTTTGTCTTTTTTTCTTTTTGGGAAGTTCTATCTCCACTGGACAACTGTTTCATCGTAACTTAGATTCACCGCAACAAACGGGATATTGGCGACACACTAGAACTAGAGTACTTGAGTATGAGGAACCCGGACCGATACCCCGCGTGGCGCATCCCGGGCCGATTACAGCGCCCGATCTATAGCACGCAGAAGAAAAGTTCTATCTCCACTAGACAACTGTGTAATCTTAAGTTACATTCACCCGCAACAAACGGGATATTGGTGAGGACCATAGTAAAAGGAACCCGGACCGATACGCTGTGTGGCGCAGCCCGGGCCGCTCGATGATCAGACAGGCATGCCATTTATAGCACGTATCGGAAGTAATGAAGTATGCCATTTATAGCATACAAGTGGTGAAGCGGACAAAAATAGAAAAACATGGAGTAGCAGCAACTTGTTTCGATCAAGTGACCTCGGGGTGGCACACGGATATGGGCCCCGCGCGCTTCCAACTGCGCCATGCTGCTATGTAATTGCTTTCTCATCCAGAGTTTGATATTGACAGAGGTGCTACATTCCATGGTCCGACGTGTGATGCGCTTAAGCTTAGACCAAAAAATGCACCTGATGCATGAGCAGATACTAACCAACCAGCTCACAACGTCCGAGAATGTGAGAAGTACGTACTATTATGGCTCGTTGCATGGCTTTTGAAACTTCAGCTCGTCAAGTCTGACCCGTCTCCGCTACATGACAGAATTCATCTGAAACAATATGAAGATCTTTATGATTAGTGTTGATCCTCGTGCTATTGTGCCGATGTTGAGTCAATCATTGATGAAGAAATGAAGCCCGATGTGACAACATTACATGCTCAAAGCAAAACTGGAGAGGCATGATGGCTCGACAACTTTGCCGGTCATAGACAAATCGTGACTATTATTAGTAGGTATTCGTGAGGGATCATGATGATGAATGGATGCAAAGAGAAGACGGAAGGTCAGTGAAGTATGCAATGAGATGAAGTGTATTGTTATTTCGTAAAGGACAGGACTCGTGACTATTGTTGAGATCCGTGAAGTAAAGCGGGGAAAGAGAAGCGAACGTCGGACTTGGATACTCTGTCTGGGACTTATGTGACGTTTGGCCACTTGAGCTTCAATCCCTCTAGCCAACGTAGATACAAGAGCTCCGCAATCGGGGACTTCTTTGCAGGAGTTTCACCAAGATCTGTTGAGATGGGAGGAGAAACTGGGCCTGAAGAAGACGGGGAACCGGCAGTGTCGTCAAGCTCCTCTGTGACAACAAGTCCTCTCGGAGTCATCTCACTCCTGCGGGTCAAACGCTTATGAGGAAACAGATTTCGAGAAGTTTGGACATGTTGACGTATAGCTTGGTTGCTAAAGGAAAAACAACGGTTAGTTGCAAGTCAAATACGTCAATCAAGAAAGTAATACTCGTTGATGCCAGACAAGATGTCAAGAATGACATTGTATGCAAGCTCGGGATTCGCTTCCTTCAATTCAAGAAAACCTCGAGATAGCATGCTGAGCGACTCAATCTCCCGTGCATCTATGTCATCTCGGATTGACTGTGGAAGAAAAGAACGATTAGCTCCTAGAATCAACATGTAACGGCCGACAGACATTCTGGAGGATAGGAAGCACAACCTCGTCTACGAGAGCCGAGCCAGCCTTTCCGGCTTGGCTTGACGTACGACTGTGCTTTGTCGGTGAGGTTGGACAAGTAGGGTTGCTGTCCTTGCGCATGTTACCAACAAATTCGGCTGACAACCGCAAAGAGCCAGCGGGGTCGATTTTCTTGACGGCTCGTATCGTGTTCACCCCGGTTCCAACGTCAGTTTCCCGGAGTACTGCCCCAGCACCCTCCGCCGACACCCTCGCCGAATAGGATGTTCGACGGTTAGAACGCACTGACCCAGTATAAGCTGGGGGTGCACCAAGTGGGGCCTCAGCTTCGGCGTCGTCAGGGTCATCAGAGGTTTCATTCTGACTAACGGCATTCAAAGCAAGGGGGTCCGACATTACTTTTTCCTTGGAAGGCGTACGAATAGGTTGAATGATGACTTCGGAGTGGGCTGCTTGTGGGTTGATCCCAATCCCGATCACGTTGGGGTCACTGCCTTTGGTCGCTGCTCCAGAGTCAATGGCTCCGTGAGCTTCTTTCGAAGCTTCAAGGTCCTCATCAGGCACCATGCCTAGCGGCATATCCAAGTCTTTTGCCATGGTACGGTAAGTTCCCATTGCTGATGAAGACTGGATAGTATCAAAATTCCAGTCGCTTCGTATTGTGTCCCACGCTTGATTCTGTCTTATTGACGGTTGATACATCTGAGGTCCACTACCCGGCGAGCGCGTCCGATAATCTTGATATTTTTCAATGAGTTCCGTCAAGGATGATGTTTTCCTTGCCCCACGAATGAACTTGTGCTGCAAAAGCTCATTAGCTGTTGGTCGCTGTATGATGACGTTCGTCAACAAGCACGGATGTATGGGCATGTATGACATACTGCACTTGGGTCTTTCGTTAGACATTGTGCCACAAAGTCCTTGAATACCGGGGAGAATGAGCCTTCCAGGACAGGAGGCTTTGCTTTGGGGATGAGAAAAAGGACACGCATTGGATGGTACTCTGCAAGAGGGGGCTCTCCTTTCGCCATCTCAATAGCTGTGATACCGAGGCTCCACATATCTGCCTTCGCGTCGTAGCCTGCCTGGCGTATTACTTCAGGTGCCATCCAAAATGGAGTTCCCACGAAGGTATGTCGCAAGGTATTCGTAAGTTGTGCAGCGACTCCGAAGTCAGCTAGTTTCACTTTGCCAGACGATGAAAGCAGCACGTTGGCGGCTTTGATGTCACGGTGTATTGTTCCCTCAGTGTGAAGATAGTCAAGACCTAACAACAGCTCACGGCATATCACTGCAATATGAGCCTCAGAGAAGTTTCCCGCTTTCAGAAGATCTAGACATGAGCCTCCTGCAAGGTATTCCATGACGATCCAAAGCTTGTAAGAGACGACAAAGGATCCATAGTATCGAGTCACATATTCAGAGTCACACTGAGCCAAACTCGCGATTTCTTGCTGAATCTCAGAAATATCGTCGTCAGAGTCTTCTAGGTCTAGAAGGAAAAACGTCAAATAACGCTGTTGCCTAAATTTCTTGAAACGGACCGATTTGCTTGATAGCTACAATTTGTTTCGTCTCGTTATGTACTGCCTTGTAGACCGTTCCGAAGCTTCCAGTTCCAAGCTTCTCCAGCAGTGTATACTGACTTGCTGGGCTGTTGGTTGGGATCGGACATGGCTCTTGTGGGCGAAGCTTGTGTTCTACTTGATGAGACGAAGGAGGAGAACGAGCAGTCACTTTCGGCTGCAAACAAAAGGCATCAGTATCGCTTCGTTTCTGGAAGCGCGATAACATGGTGCGAAGAGAAAAGCTCAAAGAAAATTCATTGGGCTTGACCCCACGGTTCCACGTAGAGAAACCATACAAATAATAGTTGAAGACTGAATGTTATGTAACCATTCCTCTCACAAGTCCAGAATAGACGCACCATCAATCGTTCAAACGTCGTGAAGATCGCAATGAATAGGTATAAAGTATAATCGCCAAAGCTGAGAAGATCCTTGGAGTAAAGAAATATCAACGCAGGAGCCCGCCGTAGAAGAGAGGTAGAAGAAGAGTCAGTCGCTGGCTGGTTATGTTATCGTTGGTGGGTTTCGAAGCTGATCAGAAAGCTTGCTCTGTGATACCAGCGTCACCTGGACTACACGATGTGGATTCCTTGAAATGCTTCAATGACAGACTCCAGAAAAATTGAATACGTTATTGAATACGTTAGAACGGTAACGAGTCATTAAGGTTGCTGAGCATCAACCAAGACATAAAACAGCAACGGATTTGGCGACCCACTGACTTAACTTAACTTCCCACGACATATCAGACGGTGTAATTGCAGCATAAGTAGTGACATGAGCTCATAAGCATTAATGCCGCATATAGAAAACAAATCTAGCAAAGAAATCTCCGGCACGAATGACTGGCTCCAGTATACACCAAAGATCCCATATCGCTCATGCCTTAACAGCGTACTTCCTTGTAGGGAAGTTGTCATCTTTCTTTTTTTGCTTGAGGGTCTTGAGCGACGCCTCGTGCTGTGAAAGAGATTGGTGATGAGGGATTGAAGTTATGACGGAGTCCAAGACTCACTTTGGTCAGGCGCCGTCTGATCGCACGCGTCTTCTTGGGGCGAAGGTCAAGGGGAAGGTAGGTCTTGTTTTTGTAGTACTCCCGAAGGTTTTGACGAGCCTTCTGGTTGATGACAGTCAGCACGCGAGCGATTGACTTGCGGACAGTGGCGCTAAGAAGTTGGATAAGACGAATGCGACGGCAGAAATAAGACAAATACTCACATCTTTGTAAGCTTCGACGCTGAACCTCCGGCGATTTTCTGTACCCGCAGAGTCAGAAGCTCAGTCTTCAACTCCTGGAGTTGCTTGTGCAAGTCATTTTTCGACCTATTTTGCATTGTGTCAACCAACGTCCGCTTCTGTCCAACGATTTTGAAACTGCGCACTTGGATTGGAGTTCGTAAGCCTTAACTTTGCCGGACATCTTGGTGGTGAAGGGTCTGAAAGGAACAATGGTCAGACGAGTCCGGAGCCAGTCAAAGAACAAGCAGAATACACAATTACCTTGAGGAGCGTCCGTGGCGATCACCAGTCTTGGACAGTCCAGATTTGTGTCCCAAACCTTATTTCCAAGAACTATATCGTTGTTCCCACGGGTAATTACATACACAAACTTTGACATCTAATCTAATCTGCGATTGCTCTTTTCGACCAAACTCTCGAATTTTACCAGCTTACCCCCGAAGATGTCCAATGCACTGCGAGAGCGTCTGGTTGAGATATGCGTTCCAGAACGGGCAGACATACCTTCCATATGTGAGATCAACACGCCCTCCGGACAACTGTTCCACCAGATCAAGGTCCCCAAGGTCTGTGGAGAAGAATGGTAAAGCTATTCAAATTCCTGAGTTCTCCAACGTACCCTTTGCACCCCCTGCGTACGTAGTAGGTATTCGTATCCATTGACCAAGTTCTGTGCGATATAAATCACGGGACGCCTTTCTTATGACTGCCAACTTACTTCTGACCAGTTCCTCATCGATACCTTGACACAATCCCTCCACGTCCGCTGCGTGGATCAGGAATTCACTTCCATCAACAAGTCAGAACATCTCTTAAATGATGGAATTCCATGAGAAACGCAACCTGCAATATTCAGATAACATATGGAGGGACTCTGAAGAAGGATAATAAGCAGGTGAGGCAAGTATTACAGCTTAACGTACATACCTTCAGATACCTCCATATCTGTTATATCTTGCCACTTGTTCATTGCTACAAACCATTTATCTCCTCTCCGGCGACAACTAAGATCACGTTCGATATGAAAACCTCCCAGTCGTAGCCGTGAAGTACTTGCCTCACATCCACGAC